GCCCATATGTTTCTTGGGCATAGATGAGGCTTGGACCAAACATCGATGGTTGGGTGAACGGAGCCCCTCCCCACTGCTTGGTGAATGGAACGAGGTCACAACGGACCGTAATGATCGGACCTCTCCCCGGCCGACCGTTCCCCAAGAAGTCCTGCTTGGTCGCCACAGATTTGGTCCATCCACTCAGATGGCCTTTTATCCAAGATATGAATAGCAAAGTTGAGAGGAATAAAAAGGGGATGATGTGTGCGTTTGTGTACTTCAGACAGCATGCCCTCAAAATGCACAAAATCAAGAAAACCGTTTTTCCTCAAGACACATCGTTTATTTTTTAGAACTGTAATTTTTTAAGGTTCTGGGGTTATGGTATGGGAAGGGCTTTGGTCCATTCATGTACAAGGACCTTGGTCTCCGGATGTCGACTTGCACCTCTTGAAGGTTTCTGCTCCCTTCGGTCCGAGGTGTGAAATGAAGAAGCCTTCTGAATTCTTTGGTCGGTGTGACGACTTTGGAGGTTTGATGAGGTTTGACGTTCTTTTAGGAGCTTTCAACTGCATACAGGAGAGGGGAGAGGGGCTGTGGCCAGTGTGGGTGGCTTGGCCAGCGCACGCCCCCCGGAGCTTGGGCTTTGGGCATGATGGCTTCCCACCAAAACGGGTGATTTGCTCGGGTGTTCTCAAATTTAATGCGGGCTTTTTTGGGTGAGCCACCGAGCCACCCGGAGTATTTTCTGAACTAGATCTTCGCAGCCTGAAAACATCGAAGAAAGATGTTGAAAGATAAACATTCATTTCCACCTTGTGCCACAATACATCAGTACTATACACTTCATCCGTTTTTCCTTCATCCAACCCCCGCTCTTTTTTGCTGGCCAGGCAACGATCACTGGCGCACTTCAACGCCATGGGCTTTAGCTCCGCCCTCGGTTCATCCCATGGGCCGTTTGGGGATGTGTGGAGGTCTCACAGATCAATGGCTTTCCAAGTCAGAGAGGAAGACTGTGATTTTGCACCCTGGGTGGGAGAGAGCGACCAAGGCATTTCTATCATTCCCAAACCATCCCAAACTACTCCCGCGCTTGGGCGGAGGGAGTGACCAAGGCATTTCTGCCCCAACCCCCTTTTGCGAGCCATTTGTGCGGCTGCGAATCCAAGGGCGGAGATTGGGGCCCCGAAGCGGCTTCGCACAACTGAGCCGGGCTCGGGCCACCGGTGATGGGCCAGCACGCCGTGTGCAGTGCCAGGCACGGTCCGGCTGCCAAAGGCACCGGCCGATGCGAAAGAGGTCCTGGTGTCACCGGAAAAGGACAGGAAGGACAGGATTGACCGGACAGGGCATCTGCATCAGGGGTGGTTCTTGTACCCAGAAGAGTGACTATATAGAACATTCGTGGGGTCTACCAGTCTCCATGAAAAGAGGGCTTGGGAGGAGCATGGCAGGGCTCTTGATTTGCGAGTATGACACGAGAAACGTGATATTTAGTGTTGAAGAACCATTCAGTGTTGCTTGGTGGCCCATCAGCGCCGCGAAGTGCATCGAACAGATTTTGTAAGCACAGGGGTGCCCTCCGAGCATGCGATCATGAAGTATTTCAATTATATGCCCATATAATGCATGGCCCATCTGGATGCTCCCACCAGCAAAACGTCTAGAGAGGCTCCTCCACAGTCCCTCGCCTCCGGTTTTGGAGACCAGGGTCGCACGGTGGACACCGGGTGTCGTTGAAACCTGTGGCGAACATGTTTGATCCAAAAGATCATTTGTTGTCCGCTGGCACCTATACACCTTCCTGCGTAGACATCTTCATAATGTTTTCCAAGACACACCTAGAAATTACACCCTTCAGCTCTGCCCCCCGGGCGCTCCGTACTTTTCGTCGATCGCTCGTCTTCGCCCGCGGCCCTGGCTCTGGCCTTGGGGGAGCCCACCGACACGAACTTGCAACTTGATCTCACCAGACTTGGTTGGAGAGGGGAGCTCCGAAATGCGAGCAAAGCACATCGAAATGTGAGTTCAGCACCCCCAAAAACCGGAGGGGTGGTGGTGTTCTATATCACCCCAAAGGAGCGCATGGTCTGTGGTGTTCTTCGCAACTTGAGACTTCCAGAAAGGCACAAAGCATGCGAAGGGTTGTCGAATACATTTGGGGGGCAATTCTGTCAACTATTGAGTTACTGCAACTCATCTAGTTTCATGATTTGCTGACTCAGAGCATCTGCAAGTTCTTTCTGTTTTGGGGCCTTGGCTCCCCAAGTCCTCCTGCTTGAGCCACACCCCCAACCTGCCAAGCTACCTGGCAGTGCAACGGCGTTGAGTGTTGCTTTTGGGCTTGCAGTAGTCAGCCACTTGCACTGCCGAACCACTGGCAAACCCACTTTGCAGTGGTCAAGGCTAAGGCTTGTCCTCTTTTACGCGTTTTCCAGGGTACTTGCACAGGTGCAGGCATGGTGGGATCCCCAACCGGACTCCAGAGTACTACCCATTTTGTCCCACGCCCTTTGCACAACCACTAAACCAGTGTTGTCATAGAACTGTAGTTATGAATGCACCAAAGCAGCTACTCTCCGAGTCTTTTGTCCTCATCACCACCGAAGATCCACATGCACGTCTCCTTCCCGCTTTCGGTCGCGCGAGCACGGGGGCGCTGTTAGGCGAGCGGCCGGTGGCGGTCGTTGGGGTGTCCCAGATCAAATCGGTCAGCCACCCGAGTGCGGCTGGGAGAGTGATTTGCCAGCTGAAAGGTGAGGAGGAGGTGTAGGAAACCTTGAGGACAGGCGTCCCAAAGGGAGAGTGACGGTGAAGTGCCTTTGTTTGTCACAAGCAAGGATCGAGTACAAGCCTGCATGGACACTGGGCCCTGCAAGACAGACTGCCCTCACTCTCCAAAACTACTGACGGACAGCTTCTCCTGCACCATGTGCGGGACGTGTATAGTTCGCTTACATTCTATTGCAGTACCTATTACATCCTATGATCCTGAAGAAGCATCTTCAGACTTTTTTTCGGAGATTCCATCATTTGCTGGTCTTCGTTGTCCAGGTCTTCCGCTTGTGATCGAACACCTTGAGGATCCAACAATACTCTGACTTGGCCATGGTGTCCAGGCCAACTCCTTTCTTCAACGATGACCTCTTCGACGAGCTTGGCCATCGCCCCAGAATGAAGGGAGCAGAGTGGAGCCACCATACTTCATCTAGGAACTTGAGGGTCAGGCACGCAGATCTGCCGCTGCGACCGGTGCGGAGGTTCTCCTTCCCTGCTTTTCCGAGATGAGCGACTTGGAGATGAGCATTTGCGAGGGCAGGAGCCGCGTGTTGAGCTGCACTGCGGGTCTCACGTGCTGGTGGTGTGCGGCTTGTGCGGGGTGTGGGGTTGAAGTGGCGCTCCACTTGGGCATGATTGAGACTTGGCTGAGAGCTATGGAGTGCATCGGGCTTCATGCTTCATAATGCATTGGTTCTTTGATGTTCTTTGAAGGCAAAGGGCCTAGGTTTTTGGAACCTGTCCAGCCAAGCGTCATTTTCAGCACCTGAATGTTGCTTTTAAGCTTGCTGTGTGACCAAATGGTTTGCATTGATATTTTTCCATCCTTCCACTAGGAGCTTTGGGGTGTCCCTATTCTTAGAGAGGCACTGACGGCACTGATATATCGTAATTATATTATATATATATATAACTATAACCTTTTTGACCTGCCAAAGGACTTGGCCTTGTCTCCAGGGATGGCAACAAGCATCAACGCAGCAAGAGTAGTTGTAGGTTTGCAGGGGTGGATGTTCCTTAGCACTTCGACAGAGTATGAAGCTCCTATAATGAGATGTGCATTGCTCAAAGCAAGACACCAACGACACCAAAGAAGGTGATGCTTTTTTGGTCAGCAAGTGTGTTGCGCCAGCATGGACACCCAAGACACAAGTGTTTCACAAGAAGGATGTTCTTTCTAGTGTGCCACCTCGTTCCTTCAACTCTATATAATTCAATTTTCTTGTATATACACCAAACACGCCACATCGACGCCACGTGGGATCACTGCTTCTTCATGCGTCGGGTGGCCCACTTTCCAGGAGGGCCGAAAGGAGGAGGAGGCTTGCAAGGTCTCTCAGGAGGGTTAGGCCAGGCCTGTGACGAGGTTCGATCTGGGTTGGCGCTCCATCGATCCACACGGTGAGGACAGGGATGGACCGGGTGCATCTCAGATTCTTTTGGTGAACTATAAGTTAGTCAATGGAGTCAACCGTAGTGATTGATTGATATATATATATATATTATATGGATTGTCCCATATTTTTTCCCTTTTCCCCTTTTTGGGACGCAGGCTCGGTTGAGGCTCCAAACCTTTCAAACCATTGGACTGTGGACTTTTTTGGAAGGCACCACATGGTGACTCATCAGTTCTCCACCGAAAGTCCTCCGTGCGACGTCCGATGCTCAAGGCATCCCTGCCTGTGACACTATAGTATATATGGTACCCTGATTCTTGTTTGCGGGCTTATACAAAGTGGGTATGTGTCAAAATCTGGGAAAAGCCACAACCATATCAAACATGAAGAGAGACCTTATCCAAGACCTCTCCAGACTCCCCTTTGCAGAACCCACTTCCCCGTAAGGGGTCGTTCTCACTGTCAGACTCATTGCCGTCATGGCGCCAGGCGCGGCAGGAGGGCATGGACCTGAGCCGCAATGACTTGATGTGATGAAGTTGAATGAAGTTAATTACTTCGGCCCAAGACCTGCAAATTCTCCATGCATCCCGAATTCTCCATGTTTAGTCCAGTCCAGCAACATGTTTCTTGGCCGGACGTGTATCACCATATGTGTTAGGAGAAGCATGGGAAACAGAACCAGGTGCATCAACATTCCCAAACATTTGTTGGACTTAACCATCATCGCGCACGATGGCGTCGAGTTCCCAACCCACACACACACACCACCTCAGAACCGCACATCGACTCTCACCCCCAGCAGCACCTCAGAACCGCCCATGACCATCTCATCACCTGATGGGAAACTCTGCTGCCCTAGGCCTAATCGAGTCTTCAGAGATGACACAGGCGCGACGCGCGCGACGCGTTTGCCGCCTGGGGCCGGAGATGAGTGCAGAAGAGATTGGATGAGTGTCGCCGGTTCTGTGAGGCCTGTGCACGTTGCGACAGCGGCTTTGTCTTGTAGATTTGCTTTCCCAGTTGAGGCCCATCTTCTGTGCTTTGTTGCTATCTTCAGTCCATGTTATGTGCTAGTTCACCTTTGCTTTGCTCAGTCCTGGCTGGTTTGTTTCAGAGATCATCCTGTATTATACCCGCAGTATAGAGGCATTGGTGCAGCATTCGTGGCTATTGTGTATGAGAGTGTGAATGTGCACTATTCTTGGCACAAGGACACCAAGGAATTGTCAAAATGCGTCAAAATACATCTTGGAATTGAAATACCTAGAAACTGATTGACCTCGAACCTATGAACACAGGACTTTTCCGATACTTGTCCTATGAACACCGGGGTCTACTGGATTCTAGATTCTAGATTCTAGGTGTTTTCTACTTATTTTCGAGTAACCGTTCTTTTTTTGGAGCGTGTGACACTGGACCCCTGGGCCCAACCGACGGCAGGAGACGGAAGACCGAATGGCTGAGGTCGGAATGCCGGTCGGGAAGGTCGGCGGCATAGACTAGCTCGACTGAGCAGGCTGAAGATGTGGAAATCTCACCAGAAGGTGCCCTGAAACTCCCGAAACAGATTCATCGGTGATCCCTGAAGTATTTGCTGATTACCTCATCGGCAGGTGGATCAGCTTGTGACCTCCTTTGGATCTTTATTGAAGATTCGACATCCTGAAATCAAAGTTTTGTCAAATCCAAATTGACAGGGCATCTTGCTCCACCAGTGATCCCATCAGGCTTCTTCAATGACACGCTTCTTCGAAGAGCTCCATCAGCTCTTAGGGCGTCTAAGCCCTGGGTTCGGGCACCTGGAGGAAGTGGTGTGAGGGTCGGTTGAGGGTCGGCAGTAGGGGCGGATGGACGGACGAAGCCCACTTTTCAATGTTCAGCTATTAAGCAATTTGGGGTTGGGGTTCTTGTCGCGGATTTGGATGATTGTTTTGTCTATGTAGCAAGGCCCCTTTTGATGGATGTGAAACAACTCACTGACTCGTCTTCCCATCCTGGAATCCTACGAATCTTTGGATGTGATTGTTGATGAATCACGATTCCACATTGAAGAAACAGGACAGGGAAAAACCACCGGAGAAAGACACCTGGCATGGCCGTGTCAGGTTGGGATCTCAGCACGCCTCCCGATTTCCATCCGACGGCGGTCCGTGTAGCTGGTGCTCTCGACGACCGTGCCTTCTCTTGGTTTTGCTCAGGATGAACGTATTCCCCAAGCGTGAGGAAACCTTTAGGGAGTTACAGTATGTTTATGGTGTTTTTTTCCTCCCCTGTGAATCCCCAAACCTCAGGAAGATCAAGATCTATGAGATCATTTCTTCTCCCTAATCGGGAGTAGCTTAGAGGCCATCGCTGGTAGCTTGGAGGCCACCCATCCCACAGGCGCCGGCGTGCCGGCCTGGCGGAGCTGCGGCCCCTGGAGCGGCAGGGCCTGGAGGCCACTGGTTGGGGGAGGAGAGGACTCTGGTATTTCGGTGAAAGATCCAAGAAGGTATATAGTTCCTGCCCCCAAAAGATATAGTTTTTGACACAGAAGGACCAGCCATGCACAGAATTCCATTTCAGCGACATAGCTCATTTGTGGAGCCTAATCCACCATCACCACCATGGCAAAGCTGTGGCCTTTGCAGCACAATTTCTCACTTCGTTACTCGAAAATACAAAACTTTGTATCGATGTGTGAATCGACTCTTGTCTCCCAATGGATTCCGGTCCATCCCAGAGACCCGTCATGCTTGGAGTTCCCCTCCGAATGCCGTCCCTCCGTCGCTGGAGGCCTGGATCCTCGCGCGCCAGAGCGACCAGGCGAAGGCGGGAAATGGTTTTCCTCAGATCTGCGGTGTGGACCCGGAGATTGGATGGGAATTAGGGGGGCATTGGGGGGGATTTCGCAACAGGTTCACGGCAGTTGTCATGAGTTCACAGTTGTCGTGTCGGTTTTTAATGAGTTCATGACAGTTCAGAAAAAAATTAGAAGTGTTGCAATCAACTGGTTGGGAAGCACTTGCGGGTCGCATGCCATTGTTCCTTGCCAGAACTACGTACAAATGCTGATGCTGTTGGCCCCGCCTTGTCCGTCGACTCTCAAGAACATGACAAGTGTGACAAACCATACCAGATAGGGGCAGCATGTGTAGTTCATGTGGCATCGTGTGCAAAACATCGTTACAAACTGGAGCATGGAATCTGTGCTGTGCAGTGTCAGCTTGACCAAGATACACCTACCGGCATCGGCGGAAGGCGACGTCGAAACCTGTCCAAACCTTGAGGTCAGACATTCTAACTCTGAGACATTGATGACTGGATGGATTGGATGCATCGATGGAACCTCAAATCACCGCCAAAAGAATGCACCTCTGCATGGATGGCCCTCAGATGGACACCCGGTAGCTTGGACGATCTTCGGAAGATGCACTCTCCTTCCCAGACCATATATGGGACAGTTACCAATTTTCTAGACCGATCAGGCCAGAGGTGGTTGGGGTCAATCTATAGGCATACACTCCTTGAAATCATCATCAGACTCATGCTTAGTAGGGAATGAGGGAATGAACCACCCCTGTAGGCCCCTCTGGATCCATTCCCATATTCCCTACGAGACGCACCAGTCAGTTACGTGGAGTCAAAACCACCGGTCCCGCTGGTACTTGGAGAACTCAGAAGCGTCATCCTTTCGGGGGCGTTCTCCACGTTCTCCACGTAAAGAAGGTTCTGATGGTTTCAGGGAGGGTAAGAGTCCACGTCCATTTCCGATGTGGTTTTTCACCCCTCCAAAGATGAGCGAAGTGGTGCTTGAGGGAGTGGCATGTCGGTCCCTCCGCATGTTTGGGCTGTCGTTCGCAAGCCGGTCCCTCCCCCACACCGATCCCCCACGCTGATGCCCCCGGTGGAGAGCACCGATGCCCACCGCGGCACCGGCGATGCCAGGAACGACGGCGGCTCCAAGGGCCCAAGATGCCAAGGCCACGCGAGAGCGGTTCTCAGTGAGGAAGATCACAGCTACATGCATTACAGAAACACCCCACTTAGAGCGATCGGCATTTGAGAAGACAGTTTCATCCCCCACCACATTGGGGGGCTTCTCTTGTTTGTCGGGTTTCGTGGATTTCAAGGTCCATCCACTGATGGCCCATTACCAGCCGATGCGTTTTCCCCATGACTCTGATGGCTGCAGCGTTTGTTTTTTTGGCTCCATTTGGACGTACACGCGCGTTTCTCGGAACGGTTTGCCCCGTGTAAACAGAGCTTTTGACTGGCTTTTGCTGGTGTCGACAGTGTTTTTTCCTTCACGTGACTATTTTGATGGTACTCGTGGGTTTTGAAAACATTTTTTGTAACGAATGCATTTTCCTGCGGTATTTATATGTATTTAATGTGGTTTTGTGACGCATGTTTCTGCCTACACAACATGTTAACTTGTTAACTTGCACACGCTACCTTAGAGATGGGGTGGGCTGGGGTGGGCTCGGGATAATGCCGTTCCTGTTAACTTGCACACACACACACACACTTGATGCTCGACGTGCACCAAGTGCACACACTTGATGCTCACCGGTCGCGCCATTTGCCGTTGAATGACAGATCATGTACAGTAACCTGCATGTTGGATTTTGGTCAAGACCCATCAAGGCAATTTCTGTGCTATTTAATACATAAGACACACATTGGTAGAAGGCTAGAACTAGAGCATAGTAAGGATGCCCCTCGAACATCTATGTGGAAGTGGAACAGACGGTCCCCCCTCAAGTCACCTTGTCTTTTCAGACAGGGCATATTCCACTTCTGCGCAAAGTTTCTAAGTCTAGGATGTATCTCTATTCTGCACTTGATGAGATGGCAGTGCGGCCCTTGTACCTTCCTTTGGGTCAACCCCTGACATTGGCCAATTACTGGCCACAGGTCTACACAGCCCTCCTCTGGAGCAAGGCGGGTTAGGGATTCGCTCTGCGAACGAAAGACCGACCACACCAGGACCCACAACAGGTCCAACCTCAACGCTTGAGGTTACTAGTACAACATACCAATATCGCAAATAGTAGTATTAGTATTGCCCCCCATGGTGAGTCCCATAGTACGTTGGCGTTTTGAGGTTAGAGCTTCCACCTTTGAAGGGGAGGACGGCCGAACGCGCCCCGTTCGGGAGGAACGCGGTTGCCGTGCCGCGAGGAGTTCGGAGCGTTCACTGCCGCGGCGCAGGAGTAGCGTGGTGACCTTCAGCCAGAGGACCTTGAAGGGCACCAGCCGTTGGTGCGCTGAGTTGCTGGATGCGTCGATGGTGGGTTCTTTTTTCGTGGTCCTGTGGTCGATTGCTTTTTGTTTGCCATTCGTTTGGTGTTTCAGAAGACGAATCATGCAAGGTCTTGCAACGCACGCTTGTCCTGTTCGATCTCCTTGTGGATCATTGTAAATCTGTGTATATGGCTGTTGTGTGTGTGTGTGTATTTTGTTCAATCAAGTCTTGTTTTACTTCTTTATAGCTTGGTAATCCTTGGCTACCTAGCAGCGCAGATTGGCGGAAGGTCTTCTCAGTTGATCATGTTTCTCATCCGGATTCTCGACTAGAGTCTGAACCGCCCGGAGCACAATCTTCTTCTATTCTTTTGCGACGGCAGGAGAATCACTTCGATTTAAGAGAAGTCTCAAAACTAAGATGGGCCCTTGTATAGAAGACCGTTGATTTGATATCAAACTTACCAAGCATCACAGACAGGACAGTTTCCATTTCTGCTCCATTTACTGAGCGCGGACAGTAGATCTCAATTTCGGGGGCGGTCACCCCATATTGGAATGCACCACCAATCCATGCATTCCAAAACAGGACTCGTTCACCTGATTCCGTTGCGTGAGCAAGTGATGCGTTATCATTGGTACTGCTGGCTGGCATCTGAGAGGCCAGCGTGAGTGAGTGCGCAGGCTGTTTGGAGAGGGCAACAGAGTTGGTATCTCGACCCTTCAGGTACTACGCGGTGGTGTGCCTGCCAGGGCTCCACATTTTGAGCCGCATGCGTCGACAGCGGCACAGTGCCGTGGAGGATAGCAAGGCGGGCACCAGAGAAACAGCATTGAGCAAGGCCAAGCGATGCAAACATGGTGGGGATGTGCTGCATCACAATGTTGTTGGGAAATGAACACGAGAGACAACTATAGTCAGTAATATGTCATGTAATATGTCATGTAATGTACTACATCTCATCTCTTCCTTATTCTCTTTTTGTCTCTCTCTCTCTCTCTCTCTGTTTTTTATTGTTTTTACTCGGAAATGACAGGCTTTCGGGATGAGGCAACGAGGAACGAATTGTTTTTTTGGGTTCCTTCCTTGGTCCAACAAACGGCGGGGAGCCACACGACATCCAGTCTCACTGCCAGCCACGAGATCTCGACGTCCGTCGTCACGCGGCGGATAGCGAGACCAAAGCGATTGATAGCGACGATTGGAGGGTCTTTGGTATTGAACCAGGTGAACAGGTCCCAAACCAAACCGCTGCGAGCGGGACGTGTGCACGTCGGAGGTCCTAGCTGATGCTAAGAGGCGGGTCACCCGGGGTGGAGGCGAAGCGGAAGATACAGGTTGCTCAAAGACAAGCAATATTCCTGTGCGGCAGTATCTTGATTTGATACATATTCTACATTATTCGACTATATAATATTCTACTATATTATTGATTTAGTATGATTTTGCACGGTACTCACTGTCTATAGACTTAATATGTGCACAGATCCCCCGAGTATGGCTACAAGTATCTACAAGTTGCTCCAGGCCAGGATGGTTCTAGCATGTTCTAGCGACTATTGGGAATATAAGATCATAAAAGCTAAAGATCATCATCATTGAACTTAAACTATAGAGATTCACAAGCTAACCATGTTTGGCATTTTTTCTTGTCCGTTCTGCGGATTGGCCGGAACCGATGGCCGGTTTTCTCGTTCGCTGGCCAGGCGGGTCAGCGAAGCCTCGAGAACGGGGCGCAGCTTTGACCAGGCCGCAGTGCGCTGTCACGGGGTCCAGAAGAGGTTTCACGATGTAAATGGGGAGTTTGTTCGGTTTGTTCATCAACATGCTGCATTCTCCACCGCAATTCTTACGGAGAACAACCCTGCCTTGGGTAGATGGCATATGGATCATGCGAGTTTTGTATCCATGAAGACCTCTCGCGGTCCAGTATTTCTATGGCACCGGCCGCCCATGTTGGGACGATTCTCCCTAGGTTTTGGGACTGTAGGTCCTATAGATCCTAGGAGTTTGTGGACCTATCCTCCTCTACAAACCACCTGAGTTCGTGGGTCCTCATCTGATTCGGTGCCTCGGGGCGTCCTTGGCACCGAACACCCGCCCGCCCCCTGCTGTGACTACTTCGGTCCCTCAGGGTGGGATGAGAGAGGTCCGATGAAAACCACCGACCTGGAGGGTGGGGCGAGGGTAGTCCAGATGATATTCCGATCTTCCGGCCCTGGAGGACCAAGATATTCCTTATAGTCCTTGGTCCTCCAGATCTTCCTTTTGGCCCTTAGTTCTTCGATATACACTCCCGAAAACTCACATGGTTACGGGGATGCCATGGCCCCGAGAGGAAGACCACGAAATCCACTACAAACAGGTGGTGCCATCCACTTCCATGTTAGTTCCAGAGAGAGTACTTAATGGAGCGAACGCCCAAGACACAACTCATGACACCCCACGGGCCACTGTCTATGAACTCTTCGTTTTGGCTGTGGCTCGATTCGCTTCAAAAAAAGGTCTATAGTGAGGGAAAAGCTGGATCGTTTGACTATATGGCCAGCTGCATTGCTGAAGAAATACGTGGTAAAACCTTGCTGGCCTTGCCCAACATCTTGGCTTTGTGCTTGTTGGTGGACGAAGCCGAAGAGACGGAGGCACCCACCATCCCCCGGGCGTGTCCGAGGCCGTCCGAGAAGCGCTGGGAGGTTCGGTGGTGGCGAGAAGCGCGGGGAGAAGCGTCGTTGGGGGTTGGGGGTCGACTCTGAGTCTGTTGGATTGCCCTGAATCATATCGTTCACCATGTCTGTTGGGCCTGGCTGGGCCTGTTCGAAGCTTCACGGGATCGACGGGAAAAGGTTCACGGACCGCAAGGGCCTCGGTGAGATCGACCGCTGTTGGGTCCGGAAATGTAGTAGGGAGTAGAATCGACCATAGGTTTGGGCTGTCCAAAGGAGACGAAAGCCAACTTCGACGGAACTAAGACCCATGCGAAATCATGTGCCAGAGCATTTGGCAAAGCATTTGGGTTCAAAAGCCAGAGACCTCAAGTGTCCAGTAGCCGATCTTTTGTGAAGTCTTTCACGTCATGCGTGCGATTTGGACTGTTCTGCTTTGTGGTGCAGTCGTGCTTGCTTTGCGCCCCGAGTGACTTGGCAAGTTGGTTTAGCTGCTTAGCCGATGTTTCTTTTCTTGAATATCTTTTCGACTGCGAAATCTGCGAATTGAGGCATGACCTCGATGATGATCACGCAGATGTCACAGGAGTCGAGGGTCTTCCTGTGCCGCGCTGCATGTTGGCAGATGCCATAGCATCCAAGACTCGCAAGAAGTTGAAGAGTGCCTCAACAAATGCCCGCAATCAGGCCGACTTGGCAATCAAGAAGTGCAAAGACAAGGAAGAACAAGCATGTCTTGAGCAGGCCGTTCATGGAAATTGCAAGTGGTGTGAAGGCTTGTGCGGCCCGAATGCAGTGTGATGCAATGCCACACCTTGACTATGGCCCAGGGAGGAGTTTCTGAAAAATCAGAGCTAGCTTCCGTCTACTTCCTCATCGGCATTTGAGGGCAAACTGCGAGTCGGAAAAGTATGAACGTGTGGGCATGCGGCATGCTGTAGTACGAGATTAGAGATCAGCATGATATTGTGGTCACCAATCATCTTCTTGTCACTACCTGCGCTCTCTTTTCTTCGTGCAAAGTTGCTTTCAGAGACAGTGGGCCAAAATCACACGTATACTAGAATTATCTTTGAAGAGGTTTTGTTTTGTTCAGTCTTACCATAGTGTTGCTCAATGGGGATCTCAAGCGGACGTGGGGAGGTTCATTTGCTCGAGGCATCTCAGATGCTTGCCAAACCAGACCAAGCCAGCTTAGACTTTTAGTTATATAGCAGTTTTTCTTCTGTGTGATGTATGATGCGATCCATCCGCAAAGCATTTGGGTTCAAAAGCCAGAGACCTCAAGTGTCCAGTAGCCGATCTTTTGTGAAGTCTTTCACGTCATGCGTGCGATTTGGACTGTTCTGCTTTGTGGTGCAGCCGTGCTTGCTTTGCGCCCCGAGTGACTTGGCAAGTTGGTTTAGCTGCTTAGCCGATGTGTCTTTTCTTGAATATCTTTTCGACTGCGAAATCTGCGAATTGAGGCATGACCTCGATGATGATCACGCAGATGTCACAGGAGTCGAGGGTCTTCCTGTGCCGCGCTGCATGTTGGCAGATGCCATAGCATCCAAGACTCGCAAGAAGTTGAAGAGTGCCTCAACAAATGCCCGCAATCAGGCCGACTTGGCAATCAAGAAGTGCAAAGACAAGGAAGAACAAGCATGTCTTGAGCAGGCCGTTCATGGAAATTGCAAGTGGTGTGAAGGCTTGTGCGGCCCGAATGCAGTGTGATGCAATGCCACACCTTGACTATGTTTCGGAATAGAGCTAGCTTCAGTCTACTTCCTCATCGGCATCTGAGGGCAAATTCTGTTCCTGCGCGAGTGAGAAAAAAACAGATCAACTTTTTGCTGAGATTGAATGCGTCGGCATGTCGTAATACTAGACTTCAACACGATATTGAAACTAGATGAAACTAGTCTGTTGTTTGTGCCCTGGATGTCACACTAGTTTGTGCCAGGAGCTTTTTGGGACGGCTCCCAGGCAGGTGTTCATCGGTGTTTTTCCGTTGGACCTCAGATGGTTGCCAGGTCGAGCCGAGGACAAGTCTCTCAGCCAGACATTTCACCATATGCCAGCAACAACATGTCAGATGTGAAATTACACTTTGTTTGGGTGTTTCGACTCTAAAGACAACTTTGGGTACAAACATGAGCACATACAGATTATACATATACTGTAACACTGTATAATTACACACAGAGTTGGGTCAAGCAAGTGGGTTGCATCGTTTGATCCCCCATCGAAAGGATGCACGGAAGGTGCATCCTAGGGAATCCCGCAGAAAGAGGATTCCCAGAAGGCAGAATCATGCAGAAGATATGGGGATGGGTTGGGTCTGTCCTAGGAAACCTGGAGCAGTCAGTAGACAGTTATCACTATTTTTGAACAAGGCCTGCAGCCCATCCATCGTCATCCACTGTTACTGTTAATAGGATAGACCCAAGGGATGGGCTCCGGTCCTAGGTAGGTCAACCAGGTCCTGGTTTTGACCCACCGCCAACTGTGAGACCGGCTTTGTGAGCTTTGGGATACGAGACTTGGGAGTTGATGGCGCTCACAAGTAGTAGTGGGGCTAGGGGAGCTTGCGATCCCCCCACTGAAATCAGGATGTCATGGAATAGAATCCTGTAAAAAGGGTTTTCCAAAGACTTATCCTTGTGTGGCATTGGGTGTTCCACGTTTGAGTTGGGAGGTGTTCCCAAAGAGACACGCCGACGTTGACTACTTCTCTGAACAACAATGGCAAACGGCAAACCAGGCGTTCGCAGCGACCAATTGATGGCGGAACTCCTGCATGTTCCAAGTCAACCCCCCACGTCACACTTCAAATCCTGAGGTCGTCCTCTTTGTTCCCGGTCACACTTCAAATATTCTTCCGTTTGCGAGCGGAGCAATCATTGCAGGTCCCCGTGAAAAGCGCGACAAGCCCAGGTGACCGGTGGCCGTGTTTCGCCGTGTTTCCCGTCGGAATGCGGTGCGTTCGTTGGGGTGCATTCTTTGAGATATCCAACAGCCGCATGGTTTAGTAGAAAAACCCTGGCCCTGCTTTGTAAAGGAACGTCGTTTTTGGAAGGGAACACACCATTCACTTCCAGAAAAACATAGTTTAATTGGACGGGGTATATCCCAACGTTGTCGCCTTACCACGTTCATTTGCATGAAAGAGAGTTACAACAGGCAAGACACAGATCCACAATGCACACAAGGTTTCTTTGTTGGTTTTACGTGCATCGAACAAGCAGTGTTTCTGACACTGCCCACAAAATGGCAAAGAGTGGCTTCTGATACAGAACACCGTGGTAGTTTTACTGAGGCTTTTAAATGAAATGCGTTTATAGTTGTTGTACTGATAGATCAATTGCAGTATGTCTCAGTGTGCTCACGTTATGCAGGGAACTCGTCAACGCAAAGCCCTGCCTCAGATATAGCCTCCAACAACTTATGACGCCATGGTGGCTTGGTGGAAACCAGCAGCTCTCTTCCCCTGCAGCAATTCCTGTTACACCAGTAGGCCCATCCGGCAACAGACTGCCACTGGTAGACTACCACTGGTGGACCACCACTGGTACACCATCACTGGTAAACTACCACTCATAGACCACCACTGGTAGACTACCACTGTGGACCATGACCGGTACTGTAGACTACCACTGGTGGACTATCACTGGTGGTAGACTACCACTGGTGGTAGACTACCACTGGTAAACTATTACTGATATATATATATATATCACTGGTAAACCACCACTGGTAGACCACCACTGGTAGACTGCCACTGGTAAACTACCACTGGTAGACTACCACTGAGACTACCATTAGAGGCAACCATGCCCCTTTGAGTTGTCGTTCGACTCAATTCAGGCATGTGAATTGTATGACTGTACCACATTGTACCACTGGACCCCCCAAACTGAACTCTCGCAAATCCCCGCCAGGCTATTTTATGGTTGTATCATGTTGTACCCCACCCTTCTCAACCTCAGGAAGACAGAACCAAGAGTTTGGCCGGGGTTGGGGTTCAACCACTCAACCACAAATGGCACCACGTAAAACATAGTACTGTAATTAAAACTACATCGATGTCCGAATTATCTTGATTGGGGATTCCATTTGAATTCCTTCATTTGTTAAAAAGACCTGGTTGGTATCGATCAACCAGTGATCACTCTATCATGAGATGCGGGATTTGCCTGCACTGGAGGCACTCGGCGCCGGCCCAGGGCTGGCAGCACGGCATTTGAGCTGGGGCACTCGGTCACTCGGCCCCCTTTTGGCTTGAACGATTGTGAGGCTATACCACAATCAATCAATATTTTCGCCAATACCGCAATGCATGTCGTGTTTTTCCATGGCTCTCAGAGGTAAGATCGTGCGAGCCGGGTGTCTTTCGATGGGTACTTGCTTGCGTTCGTTGCCTTCTTGCGTTCTGCAGCTTTCCACACCACTCTTGGTCATCACCGGCTCTAGCTGCGTGGGCGCCCGTAGGGGGCGGTAGCGCTTCGACGCTTGGTCTGTCGCACTTGTCTGACTCGTCCAACGGAGTCGGGTTGTCGGTCTATAAGTACTGGGACGCCTCTTCCATCCGAAGATGGGGCGGTCCCACGGCCAAAACGGATCGCTAGCATGGTCAATGAGCAGACTGCTGGCCGTACTTTTGATGGTTTCAATGCGATTCAGATCTACATGCCTGGCACAAGAGACACAGAAAGGCCCGGCCATCGTTTAGACCTAATGCCCGAGGCCACAGGCCCTCCACCTGCGCTTCTATGCTGCGGTGGACTTGGGCGGAGGCGACCGGAGGGGAGGCGATTTCAAGACGTTTCTGTCAGAGGACGGACCACCAAGAACGAAAGAGGATTGGTTTGGTCATGTTTGGTCATTCAAAGTGCTTGGGGACCGGGGACAGTGAGTCTCTAAACCATGTTCCTATGATCTATGCGGTTCTACGTGCTTGCTTGGTTTGGTCCAGAAGGGCGCATAAATCTGCCGGGCACGTCTTCATGGTTCGCTGGTCCTGGGCAGTTGTTGAAAAGCTGGATGACTAAGACTCACCAAAAAGGGAAGGCATCGGGTTCCATTTTGTATTCGATGCATCGATGCATGCTGCATGAAACAGTAACATCGATGCATTTCCAATTGTTGCATTTTAACATTGAAATCGAAGCATTTGTCTAGACTTTTGGGAGTGTCACCCCCAAAAGATGGCTGGAAAGACTGGAGGATAAGGATTTGATGAGACAAACTACCAGAATCAACGTCTGTCATGCCTAGACCTTCACACTGATCGCTCCAGGATTCCGTCTGGTCTCACTTTAGGATTGACCGAGGTTGGAGGCCGCCGTCATCGCTGTCTGATCCCAACGCGAGTTCCGTCCCGCCATAGGCTTTGCCACGATGCTGCGCCGGGGGTCACCGAGAGTAGTGGTCATCCCGACGGGGGTCGGACTGGGGGTCCCTATCGTTTCAAGGTGTTTGGGTTGGGGTCCGCAGGATTGGATTGGTTGAAGGATTGTGTAAGATCCATGAAGAGGATGACCATCAGGGATTGTAAGGATTGTGTAAGATGCTTAATCTTGAGAGGGAATCACCATGAATGATCTCAAGATTTGATGTTAATTTTTGATGGGAATGGTACCCCCAAGAGTGGGAGATGGGATCCTTCTATTGGCTTCCCGGTTTCCCGTTTCCACCATCTTCGACGTGAGGGAGAACGACAAGTGAGGCACCAGCAGTAGCTGATGAAGATGTTGCGGTGCAGTGGTGATGGATGGTGAGGGAGAGCTTGCTGTTGTGTTTGGGGTTGCAGATGATTGCAGCCAAGGCTCAGGACAAATACTGCCATACTGCAGATCCAACAGTGAATGGACATTCCAGATCCACAAGCCCTCCATGTCATCGTGGAAAAACACATGGAAGACAACATCCAAGACGTGCCACACTCTCCCCACGAAACCTTGCACGTTTTGACTTCCCCCTTTGCCCACCCGCCGACCGTTCCGGCCGTTCCGACCGAGGTGCGCCGTGCTGCTACGACTTGGACGAGGCGCTCCGTGCGAGGCGCCGAGTCGACGAAGGTCCATTTTGCGGCGGTTTTGGTCCGTTGGAAGCCGTTGGCTCCATGGGCAGAAAGAGGGTGAGCAGAGCCACTTTTTTCTGAGCAGAGGCATTTTTGGTGGGGTCAGTTGAAGGATGTTGACGGATGAAATTTGTATTAGTTGGACACCCACCTAAGAATGGAGCCAGGCTCTTTGGGATAACTGCTGGAAACCGTGGTACACTGGTCACGACTGCTGGATGCGCAAACCTCGATGTGCACAAGTTGAATTGATTTTGTTCGAAAGCGGCTTTGTATTTCCCTTTGTGTATGCAGCGCGCCATGGTGCCCCATCAGGTTCCATCAGGTACATAAAGACCCCAAAGTGATTCGAAGCTGCCACGTCACTTCTGCTGAAACACAACGGAGAAATACGAAGAACCTGACCCAATTGATTTAATTGGATGATTGCCCCATTTTGCCCTTCTGGGTGGCTTCGGGCCCGTTTTGGTGCTAGAAACCACAAACTCCGCGAAATGAAACCACCATGGTCTCTGTTTGATTGTAAGGAACATTGGGAGGCTGATGTGGAACCTCTCAGATAACAAATGCACTTTCACCCCAAGCAGCACTGGTTGGAGTTCATATCCCAAGAACAAGATTTCGCGATTGATCAACAACACTCGCTTTTCCGCATCTTGCACGAGGCGTCGACTGTTGGCTGCCGTGCACCTGGAGGTGTCCCCTTCCAGAAGAAATGTTTCACACAGGGGGTGACAGATGATGAAAGATGGTGAATGTTCCAATCTGTTCTATGCTGGTCATTTGAATTTGACTGAAATGCTCGTCATTTCTGGTCGACATGTCATTTGCTGAGTGCATGGGAGTGCCCAAATGACATGAGTGCCTCAGGGTGCCCATTTCTGGGTGCCTTATGGGTCCTTCTCAAAGGTCGAGGTGCTAGTTACAACTTGCTTTGCACAGGGCATCTATTGAAAGACTGCATGTGATTGGACATTTATTGCCATAGTAGCCATAGAGTATCTCAACATGTGTTGTGAATATTCAGAGAAGGGGTAGGCAGAGAATAATGATTGAGCCGTGTCTTGTGCCCTTTTCCAGGTCCAATGAGATAGAATCATTACCCAGAGGGCACGTCCCACTATGACATCTGAAAGCATGTGACGAAAGCCTCAGTCCTTTTCGGCGTCCATGTGATATTTTAGACATGTGGGTGATTTATTTGCAACAAGAGCAAGGCCCGTTTCTCACCTGGGTGTTTTTGGGCACTTTTTAAAACCATGTATTATATAGCATTTCATGCGTATAGCACAGCTATCAAGTAGCCCACACGTCAAGCCCATGGTCCACGTTCACGGGGTGACTCTATTCTTGATAACCACGTTTCTGAAAACCACCTGTCCCTGTCACCAATATATTATATTCCACAAATCATGGCCTAGAAAGTAACACCTAATTCCCAGTAAATGGACACACCTTCACAGAATCCGTGGATTTTCTTGAAGCTCCCTTTGTTCAGCAGTTTACTTATATAACACATCTTAAGACAGCCCTCTGAATCATGTAGACCCTCCATGGAACAAAGGAAGCTTTGTTTTTTTTGTATGCCAAAAAGAGACACCCACATATACCCTAAGATTTCCATGGTCCACAGAGGTTTCCACAGTTTTTTTTGCATGCCGGGTGTTCGACGATATTTCCCTCTTCAGGAACCTGACCAGCGGCTTAGCACCGTGCCCTTCAGCCGTTGCACGGTGCTCCCGGGTCGCTTCCGTTCGACGTCGCCTCCGTTCCGCTGCGTCGTGTCGTAGAAGCGAAAGGAAAAAACGGCCAAGCAGGACTAGCAGGGCCTCCGGTGTGTCTCCATCCAACTTGAGCCTTCAAGGTGGGGTGTCAATGAACCTAACCTCACTTGTTGTGTGGGTCCTGGTTTTTGACAAAAGCAGACGGGCCGGACAGCTCAGTCGATGCACATCGCACCGGTGGGACAGCTCAGACTCAAGGGGTTGTGGGAGAGGAGTACCCTCCTTCCAAAGGGCCCAGAAGGGATGAAGCTTGTTTTTGGGTAGATCCTATTTCTCAGCCGTTTGGCTTTGAGGACATTTGTCCTGGGCAGTTTTCTTGGTTTGCCCGCCATGAAGCTGCGGCAAACTGCACAGATGCAGCAACAAGCCAGCATGATGCAGCAGCTGCGTACCTTCTGGATGGAAGAATCTCAGCAGCCAGTTTCAGAAGTGACGATCAAGCGAAACAGTGAAGGCAAGGTCCTGGGTTTGTAGGTTCACAGCAGAATTACTTCCTGCAGTGCTTTGGAACAACGGTTGAAGGTAATCAAAACTGTGTCTCTCTCTCTCTCTCTCTTTGGTGTGTTTGAACATGCGTACACGGCCTATGTCTCGGGGTTCTGTGAAACATTTTTCCACTGAAACTCACTGAAGGGTGTGTTTCTCTCCAACCTACGGTTGTAGAGCAGGGACGTTTCGGTTTACTGTAATTGTCAGCTTCGTCCAGCTCAGTCTCTTGCCTGTTTCGGCTGCAATTTCTGCTCAGGGCAAACCTCCTTGTAGGGAGTGAGACAGAAATAGAGAGAGAAGACATGTTTAGATGGGCACTTTCAGCAGGTTTGTGTGTCAGTTTGCGTGTCAACAGAGCAGTGCTGGGGGCGGGGGCCACCCGACTGAGCTATGCCGAAGAGAAAGGCGGTGTCACCTTCACCGTCCCTGGATCCTGCAGATCCATGCGCGGTTGGCCTCTGGCTGACTGAGGATGAGGTAAATATGATCCGGGAGATGATGAAGATGAGAAACACTTGTAGGTGGGAGTGGCGTGTGGAGGAGGTTTGCGAAGCACAAAGCTCCGCCAGGAGCAAAATGAGGGTGAAGCAGAAGGAGGCTGAGGCCAAGGAGGCCAAAGCGAAGGAGAGGCAGGCGGCAGCTACGAAGGCAGCAGCCAAAGCCGCTGCCAAAAGCAAGGCGACGCCGAAGGCGGCTCCCAAAACCCGCCCGGCCGCCAAGGCAAAACCAAAGGCAGCTCCAAAGGTATCTCCCAAGTCGACCGCAGTGCATAACAGAACACCTGCCCAGGCAGCTCAGGAAATGGTGCCAGCAGCACAACCACAACCACAAGCTCAGACGATTGACGTGGACGACCAGGAATCAGACACTGACACTGACAACAGAACTGAGGAGACCGGGGGGGAGGGGGTCATGTGGCGAGCCTAAATTAGTCCCAAATCAACAGAGTGACTGGTAATGACTGGTATACCTTGGCTGAAACAACCTGGTTGTCCAGCTGTGGTTTTTTGGTCTTCCACGAGGGTCCGGATTGACCTGTTCAGGTGCCGCGCCAGATGGGGATTGCCTCACCCTGGTCTCCGTGCGACCAACAAGAACGCGATTTTCTGGCCAGCTTGACAGTACAGGTCTCCGAGGATCGTGTGGGGCCCCTCAGTCCGAGGGTGCACAACACTTCCGCGCAGCATGTCGTCTGACTGTAGATTTGGCAGGCCTATTTTTGGGGGGTTGTTGGCGGCATGTTCGAAGACCAAAGACCATCCCAACAAGATTTGTTTTGCAGGTGCCTGTGACGTTTGAAGTTGAAGGATCGCCTTTCATATCATTCGTGCAATGTTTGTGGCCAATGTCTTCCCCAGTACAATGTTCAGGGAGCAGACTACACCTTGCCAGTTGTTAGAGAACGGAGACCTATGATCTATTATTCTAAGCCGAGCGAAGATCACCGGATTTCTTAAGCACTCTTTGTGAAGGCCAAGAGCACCAGCTTTGGTGGGTCTCCTGGGGGATCCTTGACTGTCCACCTGGCGATTCATCGCTTGACCTCGCCTGTGGATTTGAAGGTTTGTAATTAGTAACTATATAAATTAGTTACCAACAATTTCACTGTGGGTCAAAACGTCAAAACCGCTTTTCCCTCCATGTCACCAATGGATAGGTTGACAATAATGACCAAGAGGATTCTCATGAATGAGGGCTGTCTGTCAACTAGGGCTGTCTGGGTACTGTGACACACAACCAGGGAAGTTGGCCTCTAAGTCTTTGGGTGAACTCGCTTTTTGACGAAATCAAGGTGGCAAGGTGGTTCTGCTTACCCTGAAACTGTTCTTGTGTGAAGGGTGTCAGCCAAAAGATTCACTTCGGCTCGATTTGGAGTCGAGTTTCGACGTGTCTTTTGCCGCTCAGTTGAGAAGATTAATTCATATCTTCAGCGACGTTGCAGCTTGGCCGTGGGAAGGGTTGCAGGTTAACCAAGGTTTGCAAGCAATTGTAGGTGGCCATTTGCCATCACATTTTCCGACAATCGAAGAGAACCTTCAAAGAATTGGGGTCTGCCTAGGGGCCGTCCGCGCAGTCTTCTCGCTGGGACATATAGATTTGACAATATGATTTGATTGTTGGAGGAATGAGCCACGGTTTTGGGTTGGACTCGTTGTGCCGCAGGCTAATCATGGAGGTAGCTTAAACCGTGGGTGGAGGGAATTCCTGCTCTTCTAAGACTGTCCTTTGGGGAGATCCAAACGGAGCCCGCCTTGATTTGTATTGCAGGTCTCATCAACACTGAGTACCTATAGCCAAGCATATATGCTGCTCTTTTTTCTTCAAACAAGACCTGTGGCATGCTACGATGTCCGAAACCATTCCGCTCGAAGTCAATGTCGTCCCTCAGTGGTACCAGCCACAAGAGGCATAACAGGACCATCTCCAATCCCCTCCGGTCCACAACCGCCAAGCTGTGCAATGTCTTGAGGCGGAAGATGTCCATACCAATGAGCCCACTGTGAACATCGACAACATGAGCCGGAGACGGCGCGCAGACTTCAAATACATCTTGCAACACATGGTGGAAGAGACACGCACTAAAAGGGCACGTGCCGAAAGGGAACGCGAAGAAACTGAGGCAGCAGCAGGCCGTGAACAAGTGGGTGCTCGTCGCAGGTGTTTTGTTTTTGTTGCTGTTGCTTGTTCTTGTGCGAGTGTTCAAGGTGGGTGTGGGAAGTGAGGCCTGACATGGGCACGCTGCATTTCTGATCTAGTTGAAGGTTTTGCACACAATGTGGTGAAGTGTTCACACACCTGTCAGGAACAGCCGCTGATGAACAAGTGGAAGCAGCTCCGCCAAATCAGGAAGTTGCAAGCACTGCAAGCACTACTGCAGAGCCCGCACGGGAGCCTTTGCCACATCCGCCAGAGGACGAGCTTTATCAGAATGAAGAAGAACTGAAGAATTTCCTCGATGAATGCGAGGAATGGATCCGAGACTGGTGAAGTTTCAAGTCTTGGCTCCAAATAGGGAGGCCCCATATCCATACTGTTGCAGAAAGGTCGGCTCAACAAACCAAGGATTCACATCAAGGGCTTGGATGGACAAGTCAACTTTCTTTTTTGGATCAATGAAGAGACTCCATTCAAAATGGGCTGCTGATCAGCATGTCCGGGCGTTTCACCAAAAGGGAGCTACAGTGCTGACGCTCCTCCTGTGGCATGGAAAGCGGAATTGTGGCTAGCAGAGATTGACTGGGCAGATAAAGATCTTCTGCCTTTTTGCCTGTATGGCTTGATCTGTGAAATGACTACAGTGACTACAGCTCAAAAGACATCCTCGTTTCGTTCCGGAAACTCTATTTCTTATCTTGTGTAATATATGGTAATAATTACAGTAACTAATTAAATGCAGTTGTTTGCTTTGGGTGGAAGGGCAGTACGCCACAACAAAGAACAGCAGATCCCCCGGCGTGGGTCCAGGTGGTGCAGGATTTGTTCCACCAAGAGTAGATATTTTGACCCAGGATCCTTTCGATGACCTGCCTTTTCAGATCAAGGCGCTGCTCCCACAGACCCTGCGAAAACGCAAGCCTCAAACTCTCAAGTTGCAGCCTGGCAATTGGAATGGTCTTCGGAGATCCTCATAACTCAAACAACTGCCCGGTCAAAAATGCTCGCAAGCCCATCAGAGCGTGCCCTGTTTCAACCAGATTCCGCCCTTCTCGGCTCTGCCCGGCTCCTCACAGCACTCGTTGAGGACTACTTGTGCGACGTGATGTTCAAGAGCCGCGATGGGCAGCAGCACAAGGGCCATCGGATCATCATCTCTTCAGCCTCTGAGGCGCTGCGAGCCCTGCTGGGCAGCACCTTCGCGGAGTCCGAGTTGATCAAGAAGGGGGAGCCGGTGCACTGGTCAGCACCCGCAGAGCTGGGAGATGGAGATTCACCCACAGCCGGGTGAGCACCCCTTCGGTGGATGATGTTCGGCAGGTTGATTCAGACGAACCAAGGCATAGGTGATTCTCTGAGGCGCCTTTGATTTTCAGACGAACCCATATTTTTTCTCCAAAATCGTCCGGGCCTTCAACTAGCCTTAGTGCTGGCAGCAAAAACATGAAATCATGAAGCGGGTGTTCTGGAGGCCATTTGCAAAACAACTTGACATCATCTACAAAAGAACTTCAAAGAGCCATCAATCCCAAAGTGTTCCAAAGGGATTCACGCGTTTTTTTGCTGTACGGCTTGTGCCGCACGTACCTCCAAGGAGTTACAAACACTAGTCTGTGTGTTTGTCAGTGGGATCGCGACCTGACGTTCAGCGCCGCGAAGCGGCGAGGTGAAGATCGCGGCCTCCGCGAGTGTGGTCGAGGCCCTGCTGGACTACGTCTATGGAGGAGAGCCAGAGGTGACGAAGCGAACGACCATGAACGACATGGGGATTTACCACTCCGACTAGGATGAATCCCCACTTCAGGAAGTGGATGAAGTGGATTAAGTAATACCAGGAAGACCATTTTGCTCTACGAACGGTGTGTGTGTGTGTGTAACCCTTGGAGTCATAGGGATCCTTCTGGATTTGTTTAGTTTATTGCAGGGGGTGCCAGGGACCGTGCAAGTCTGGCACTAACAAAGACGCTTGCACTGGTCTGTGAAATCAATCCGGGACGCCGGATTGACGTACCTGCTTGGAGAGAAACCTACGTAGAGCACAAGCTGTCTACTTCGTTGTTTCCTTCAGTGAAGGGCTACTGCAGCGGTGATGAACTTGGCTTTTCTGCACGTACGTCGTCACCTTGTCGTCCGCTCGATCGGTGTTTTCTTTTGGAGTTGCTGGCCACCTGAAACCTCTGGGACCTCCGCTGGATGGACCTCCTCTTCCTTTTTTAGGCTTCATTACCTGTACCCTTAGGAATTGGAACCCTAGGCCGGCGTGTGGCACCGCTATCAAATCAGTACGCATATCCATGAGTGTGTTTGGCTACGTGCCAACCCGGGATGAGCCCGCAGAGTGCCTCCCGTGGACCCAGGTGGCCTAGGCCGTACGTACGATGATCTTTGTCTCATCTTTGGAATTCTAAGTTGGCTTATGCCTTTACGTGACCGCAGCGGTCAGAGGTGGCAGCCCTCGGGCAAGCCGTACGTGGTCGTAGCGACCAAAGCTTGTTCAAGGTTCTTTGGAACCTGTCGCGAGCTTAGTCCCCCCCTCCTCCCCCTCCCCTTCCCCTTTCTTTCTTTGCTTTCTGGGGTTTTCCTGAATGGAATACTCAGGATCTCCCCTCTCTTTCTTTGGTGTGTCCCTGGACGATCGTTCGTAGCTGGGAACACCTTCCTTTCTCTCCTCTCCCTCTCTCTCCCTCTCTCTTTCTTTCCTTCTCTCTTCCCTCTCTTTTCCCTCTTCCTTGGGTGTCCCTGGATGCTTTCGTCATAGCTGGGAACCCTTTTCCTCTCCTCCTTTGGTGTGTCCCTGGACGCTTGTGTCGTAGCTGGGAACACCTTCCTCCCCTTTCCTTTCTTCTCTTTCTTTTTCTCTTCTTTCCCTACCCCTCCCTCCTGTCAGGACCTTAGTGTGGGTTGCTACTAGGGGCTCCTGGCCTTCTTACTAGGACGCTACTTTGGTGCTTCTAGGGGTTCCTGGCCTTACTACTAGGCGCAGAGGTGCCTCCCCTCGGGGAGGCATGAGTGTGTGTAACCATTGGAATCACAGAGATCCGTCAATTTACTTAGTCTCACTCCACATTTGGCGCGGAGCTTAAAATCTTGCCTCCCTTCGGGGAGGCGTGTGTGTGTAACCCTTGGAGTCATAGGGATCCTTCTGGATTTGTTTAGTTTATTGCAGGGGGTGCGAGGGACCGCGCAAGTCTGGCACTAACAAAGACGCTTGCACTGGTCTGTGAAATCAATCCGGGACGCCGGATTGACGTACCTGCTTGGAGAGAAACCTACGTAGAGCACAAGCTGTCTACTTCGTTGTTTCCTTCAGTGAAGGGCTACTGCAACGGTGATGAATTTGGCTTTTCTGCACGTACGTCGTCACCTTGTCGTCCGCTCGATCGGTGTTTTCTTTTGGAGTTGCTGGCCACCTGAAACCTCTGGGACCTCCGCTGGATGGACCTCCTCTTCCTTTTTTAGGTTTCATTACCTGTACCCTTAGGAATTGGAACCCTAGGCCGGCGTGTGGCACCGCTATCAAATCAGTACGCATATCCATGAGTGTGTGCCCCTTGTAGTCACAGGGATTCGTTTGAATTGTTTTTGTGCTTAGCAGGGGGACGGGACACCACTGGCATTTCCCGTCTAACGAAGAGGATGCCAGTAGGTGCTGATGCAGTGGGGGACGCCCCACTGTGTACCTGTTCCAAACTGTTGTTGACCACGCTGTGACCCTAATCTTCCTTGGTTTGCTTCCATGATGGTTTGCGGCAGTCACGCACGGAACGCCGTCACTTCGACCTGATCGCCGACCTCGACCTTGTGCTTTGGGCCTCCTTTCCTTTTAAGACCTCCAGGATTCGAT